GAATTGGCTGAAAAACAGAATTAAAAGGAAATCTTCTGTTCAAGCTTCAAGCCAAACTTCTGAGAATTTTGTTTAAGCCCATCTTGGGGAAAACCATTTTAATCCTTCTTTGATATTCTTATTCTTCCTTGACCTCTAGAGTTACACTTGAGTCTACTGAGAAGTTTACTGCAGGATCTAATAAATTTCAGAGCTTCATTGTGCAAACTTGTAATTCTCAGAGTTGACTTGGCAGTCTGCCTTTTCTTCGTGAGTTCCTATGCTTTCTGCAGCTGAATTCTTATTTCTAAAACTGACTTTCCTCTTTTAAAGCTGTGTGTGCAACGAATGCTCGGTCATGATTAGCCATGGTTTACTTAGCTCTCTTTCTTGCTTTGTCTCTTTCTCACTGCTCCATTGCGTGGAGGGGAGTGGGTGGATATCACAGCCTCAACCTGCAACTATTTTTGTTTAATGACCAGTTGAAATTGCAACAACACTGAAATTTCTTACATATGACTGGTCCTCCCACTTACAACCATTGCAGCATTCCAACAATCAAAATTTGGCAACTGGCATGTATTTACATTGGTTGCAGCATCCTGGTGTCACGTGATCCCCATTTGCAACCTTCCCAGCTGGCTTCCAACAAACAAAATCAATGGGGGAAGCTGGAGCACATGATGCACCTAACAGCAATTCACTTAACAACCTTGGCAAAAAAAGGTCATAAAATCAGATATGACTCTCTTAACAACCGCCTTGCTTAGCATTGGAAATGCAGGTCCCAACTGTGGTTTACTACCTGTAAAGCATAATTAACAAAAGCGCTTGCTCATACTAATCTATTTTCCCTTTCTAAGAGTTAAATATAACTTCTGCTAACTTTTTTCAGATCAGTTTTTATAATTCTATCACATGCTCAAGTCAGTCATATAAGAAGGAAACAGGATGAGAGAGAGTGGGTGGTGTGCATCAGATTAAAAAGAGTGTGGAGGCTTGATTTTATGAAATAAATGCGAGTGATTAAAAAGAGGCCAAAAAAAGGTATTGCTATAACTCTCTAGTCAGTGTTTCTCAACCTTGACAATTTTAAGGTATGTGGACTTCAACTCCCAGAATTCCACAGCCAGCAAAGGTTGAGAAACACTGCTCTACGTGACTATTTAGATCAGGGGTAGGCAACCTTGGCTCTTTTATGACTTGTGGACTTCAACTCCCAGAATTCCTGAGCCAGCATGGCTCAGCTTGGAAACCTCTCCCTTTCCCCTCAGCATGGCTGGCTCAGGAATTCTGGGAGTTGAAGTCCACGAGTCATAAAAGAGCCAAGGTTGCCTACCTCTGATTTAGATCATTAAATAAGAGTCAGAAATTGTGTACAATCAGAAAGACCCTGGTGCCATCTTTTCTAACAAGTTTTATTAAAAGCCATGCATCCTCCTATTATTACCGCCATAGACTAACAGCTCTCCTTCATTATTTAATAATATCTTCTTCTTGTGCCATATCCATTATCGGATGTTGGCAATCATGTTGCTGATCCTGTTTTTATCAGCAGCCGCATGAAAAAGTGCTGCTGAATTTTGTCCAAACCAGTCCCTGAGATTTTGAAGCCATGATGTTCTTCTGCCTGGACCTCGTTTGCCTTCAATCTTTCCCTGGAGGATTAAATGGAGTATGCCATATTTTTCTGGGTGTTGCATCACATGTCCAAAATATTCTAATTTTTGTTTTTTAATTGTTTTGATGATTTCCCTTGGCTTTCCCAGGCGGCTTATCACCTCCTCTTTTCTGATCTTGTCAACCTAGCTTATATGTAACAGCCACCTGTAAATCCACATTTCAAATGTTTTTAGTCTCTTCAGGTGGCCTTCTGTCAGAGACCAACTCTCTACTTCATAAGCAGGATAGAAAAAATGTAGCATCTGACAAGCCTGATTTTCAGTCTTAGGCTTATGTCGTGACTGCAGAAGACCTTTTTCATTTTGCTGTTCGAGCTTTCTCTATCTATTTAATATGCAGCAACCAAATAACCGCACCTAAGTTACACTAAACATGTCTTCAGGCACAGCTTAATTAGGGCTACCATATCTGGGCTACAAACCTCCCAACACTCAGCAAATGGTAAGGATATTGTCATGACTGAATGAGAAGATATTGGAAAGGATAAACTTACTAGCAGTGGTAACTCAATCAAGCCTTTTTTTAGGTCACTGCCCTCTGCCTGTGTTGGACTTCATTTCCTCTTATAGGTAGCCCTCATTTAACAACCACTTGTTCGCAACTGTTCAAAGTTATGATGGTGCAGGATGAAACTTATGATCCATCCTCATAGTTGTGACTGTTATAGCCTCCCTGTCAACTGTCCATTGGTGGATCCAGAAAAAGAAACTCCTGAGACGTTGTTTTACCAAGAGTATAAACCATATTGGTACAGATGAAGCGAAACCAGCTCTGGGTTTCCCATGCAAAAGCTAGCATAGTTAATCTCTCTCTTCCCTGTGGGCCACCCACAGTCCATTATGTCCACCAATCACTTCTGTTCAATTTGTAATGGGAAACCAGCGAGCCATGCTAGTCCACCTGCTCAATGTGTCCTTGGGTTGGGCACTCTCTCTTGGGAAGAGATGATACTCAGATGCAAGTGCATACCACTCTCGCATTCATCCCCCCTCCTCCCTTTTCTTTTGTCAAGCTGCGAGGGAAACAGAATATAGATGAAAGTGCAAATCAGTCTTGACAATCCCATAGCATCACATGATCACAATCCAAGCGCTTGGCAACTTGCTTGTCATCACAACGAAGTGTCCCCCAGACAAATGATTTCCATTTGCAACCTTCACTGCTCCCTTTTGACAAGCCAAGAGAATGGGGAAGCCAGCAGGAAGTCGCAAGAAGTGATCATGTGACATCATGCCTAACAATGTAGGACTCATTTAATAACTGCAACTGGAATTGCCGCAAGTGACATTGTAAGTCAATGCGGTTGTGTGACATCATTCTTTATGACTCTGTTGCTTAGCAATGGAGTTGCTGGTCCCAATTGCCATTGTTAAGCAAGGACTACCTTCATCTCCCAGCTGGGAATTAATGGAATTCTGTGCCTCTCAGAAGCAATAGGTAGGGAAGGCAGCGCTATCCAGAACTACTAATAATACGGGAAAGTTGTGTTTTTGTGTTATTTGCCTGTAGTTCTTTGAAAATGAGGATTTAGTACTTCTTGTCAAATATCTGGCTCTCTCTGATGAATGAAGGTTTTGGCCAAAGAAAATGGATTAAATATAGGCCCTATTTGATTTATTTATATATTAATTTGTTCAATACAATTTAGAAGCCACCTCACTCCACACAACTTTTGGCAGCTTACACTTTAAAAGCAGGAACTATCAGAAAAACAAAAAGATCTTTTTTGCAATTGTGGTCAGACTGGTTTTACACTGTGCATATTTGGTTTTAGTTTAGTGCCTCAATTTGACCACTGTGATTTATAAATCATGGTTTATACAGGTAGTCCTCGACTGACCGTTCAGTTACAACAGCACTGAAAAGTGACTTATGATCATTTTTCATACAGCTGTTGCAGCATCCCCATGGTCATGTGATCAAGATTCAGATACTTGGCAACTGACTCATATTTATGAGCGTTGCAGTGCCTGGGTCCCATGATAACCTTTTGCGAATATCTGAGCCCAAAATTTCTACTGTTAAGTGAAACATTTGTTAAATGAGTTTTGGCCCATTTTACGACCTTTCTTGCCAGAGTTGTTAATTGAATCAGAGCAGTCATTAAGTTACACAGTTGTAAAATGAATCACGCTTCTCCATTGACTTTGCTAGTTGGAAGGTCAGAAAAGGTAGTCACATGACCCCAGGACACTGCAAAAGTCATAAATATGAGTCAGTTGCAAAACATCTCAATTTTGATCATGTGACCATGGAGATGCTGCAACAGTCATAAGTGAAAAATGGTCATAAGTCACTTGTTTCAGTGCCATTGTAACTTCGAACAGTCACTAAAAAATTGTTGTAAGTTGAAGACTACCTGTAGTAGCTGCCCAGAGTCCCTTGGTTGAGTTGGCTGGCTATAGAAATTGAATAAATAAATAAATCCAGAAATAATTACTCTGTTTTTTCTTCCCAGTCTAATTTCAAAGCATTTGGTTGATCTTGGCTGATTTCAGTTAAGATTAGAACTGGGTTGGAGGCCAGCAGGAAATGTCAGGGCTGAGGAATTGAAAACACCAGCATTTCCTTACCACTGTTAAAATGACTCCTGGATGTATCCTGAGATCATCAGGAATTGAACTCGACTCAAGCCAGATTGCTTTTATCCATCTTTTCAAAAATCAAGTGAGGCTCCTGATCATCACAAGCAGCCCCTTCTGCTGTAACTAATGTACCTTGTGTCCCAAGTTCAAATCCCGTCTAAATTCTAAATATCACTCAACAGCTGGAGGCTCATTGCACCCTCAGGGTTGTTAAGGATGGAATTGGGAGCAAATTACTGAAACAACCTTGAGCTCAAAAAGGTAAAGGAGGAAAGTTCAAATAGGACATTTTTACAGAAACAAAAATTACCGATGCGTAATTATTATATTTTACGAAATGCAATCGCACTCAGGTTTTTGTTTTATGATTTCATTATTTTACAGTTACCGTAGTGGATTTTACTGCTGTTGTGAGCCGCCCACAGTTGGCGCTTAAGATCGGCGGCCACAGACATCTACTAAATAGAGAAATAAAAATAAACTTCATTCAACCCCAGAGAAGGCACACTCCAAAGTAACGTTTGCAGTTTTTTCTACACCTCCGTGCAAAATGAAATCGAAAGCAGGGCTGGCTACCCGGGCAACGCCTTCAGATTTTCCATCCCGTGTTTGCACGGCTTCGCTCTGAAGCCCAGCACACACGCCAGGGTCTAACGCGCTCGCCGCCGAGCACGAGCCACCCACGCGGAATCCACGGCCGGGCCCTGGTCCTACGCAACCCGCTTAGCGTCGCGGAAGAACCAGGGAGGCGGAACCGATGGCCTACGGTTCGGGAGTTCGCCCCAGTGGCTGGAACCCTATTGGCTGAAGCGAGCGCGCGCGGATTGGCCGGCTCCTTGCCGGAGGGGCGTGACTCGCCTGACGCCTCGTTCGGCTGGACGGAGGGGCGGCGAGGGGGGTGAGTGCAGGCTGGCTGGCCGCGGGCGGTTTGCATCGCGATGTTGCTCTCGCCGCCGCCGCCCTCGTCCCTGCCCTGCGGGCGGGCGGCAGGCGGCTCCCCTGGCCTTGGGGCGCGAGCGGCAGGGCCGGAGCTCCAGGAGGAGGCTGCTCCCCGAGAGCTTCCCGACGAAGAAGGGGAGCGAGGCCGCGCCGGAACTATGCCCGAGTGCGCCCCGCTTCTGGTGGCTGGAGCCGGCTGCGAGTCGGCGAGGGCGTCGTCCGAGACGGAGGCCGCTGCGTCAACTGCCCAGGAAGAAGGAGAAGCAAAAGCAGCCGCCGCCACCACGGAAGATTCCTGTCCCCGGTGGGGAGCCCAGCACGCGGGAGCCCGGGAGCTGGCTGAACTGTATTCCCCCGGTAAGGAGGGATGCGGGACTTGGGGGCGGGGGAGACTTTCAAAGGGTCCCTCGCCTGTCCCGGCGAGCCCTGGATTGTGATGCGAGACTGTAACGAAGGTGGCCCGGTTCGTCCGTCTCGCTCATCCTTCTCTGCCTCTCCCGGGATTATTGCGCACTTGAGCGGCGCCTTGAAGCACAGTGTCCGGGCAGGTCGTCGGAATGAGCCTTCTAGGTGGCCCGTCTGAACCTGCAAGTTGGGTGGGGTTAGTTTTTAAAGCGGTGGGATGAGCCGTCTGGCTTGTTCACATGCTTTAAAAAGTGGCGCTGAGTAGCTGATGGCGGATGTTAGGAGCCCTTCCACGTTTCCGGATCAGATTCAGTAAATCTGGAGAGTTGTCTCTGTAATTCGGTTCACGCTGCTTTAGCCGCAAGCTTCGGCCCTGGGCCAAGCACTGAATCCAGGCTTAAAAGAGACATATAAGAGTATAGGACATAAAATAAATCTGGGCGTCATCTAGAGTTTGTGTCTTCTTGTTTTAACCTGTTTGTTCAGGTATTTCAGAATTGCACTGGTTTAAGGGTGTACAGATAGTATTTCTTTTTTGTAGTCCGTAATGGATGTGCACACAAAGTGGTTCTTATAAAATTTAAAAAAACTCAAAATACTTGGAGGAGCTTGGTTGGTCTTCACTTTCCTATTTAGAGGTATGCTTAATGCATCCTGGGTTTCCCGTTATGAATGTAATAAGTGGAATGTTATGTAGGTTGGGCCCTATTACTACTTTGAATGGAAATTGCTGGGAAATTTCAAGGGAGTAGTCAAAAACATACCACAAAGTGGAAATCTGCCTTCATGCTGATGTCAAAAAAACCCTTAATGATCTGACTGGGAGTCAAACTCTCTTTAAGGAAGTTTTCACTTTAAGATCTAAAGCAATAGAAACTGTGGGATAGATGCTCACATTGGCAAAATGAACATTAACTTTATTTCAAACAGTTTTTGTGGGCTGCAGAAAGCTGCAAATTTTATTCAAATGTTATGCCATTTATATTCACGTTTTATTCAAATGTTATGCATTTATATTCAAGTTTTATGCATTTTTTTTATTCAGCTTAAGCCTTTGCATAGTACACTGTACCTTTCAAGGCTAATTGTGTAACTCAAATCATTTCTCTTTTGATGAGCAGTTAAGGCATCAGGCTAGAAACAGAAGATTGTGAGCTCTAGTCCCACTTTAGGCATAAAGCCAGCTGGGTGATCTTGGGTTAATCTTTTTCAAACCTAGAAAACAATGGCAAACCACTTCCGAAAAACTTTGCCAAGCAAACCACAGGGACTTATCTAGGCCGTCTGCAAATATCGGACATGCATGGAAGGGGAAAAAAAAATTTCTTAAGTAAATAAAATATATTTTTCTTCCTTCTCCCATCCCAAAAAAAATTTCCTTGATGATTGTGGCATAACTATAATCTGTGCTGTATACTGTGGGATTTTATTTAGTACTATTTTGACTCCTGAGGATTATGTGGACAGATGGATACAATTTTGAAAGTGGTTTGCCAGTATCTTCTTTCTAAGGTTGAGAGAAAATAGCTCAAAATCATTGAACTATTATGCCAGTTCTTGTTTTAAACCAGCATCTTTAACCATTAGGCCAAACCAGCTCTTTTATATAGTTTTTCTGGGCTATGTAAAGTATACTATACATATTTGATATCAGTTTAGCATGAGAAAAATAGGAGCACGTGGGTAGTCTTTCTTCTGAAAAATTATTGGTTTAAAATTCTCTGTCAGCACAACAATCTTAATCATTTCCTCACTGAAACAAAAGGCAGTGGAAGTTCTGGATGAGGGAATGAAATAAAAGAAAAAGATTGAGGATGTGCTCAAAAAGGGCTTAAAATTGGAGAAAGGCTTTTTGACTGTATTTGTTTTAGTATATATTTTAAGTGGAACTATTCATCACTGGGTACAGACTAAAGTAATATTTTCAGTTCAGCTTTCTTTTGTCAATATGGCCTTCTCATCTTTTTTAAATCCTTGATTTTAAATATTATGAATATAACAACCAGATTACCTTTTTAAAAGACTTTCCAAAGTGATAGAATCTGAACATTTTCATAGATTACTAAAGTGGCTTTTATAAAATTTATGAATAAATGAATAAAATGTATTATTTATCTGAACATTCATAACTCTCTACTCTCTTAAGGCGGACTATATATGCAATCTGATAAATAATCTGACCCAGCCATAATCACTGTGCCTGACTGGATGCTTTTTCTTATCAGTTACAGAGCCAGTTTGCTGGGCTAGAAACTGCACAGCTGTAATTAGGTTCTAGTAATGCTTTCGGCATGAAATCAACTGGATGACTCTGGGCCAGTCAATTTTTCTCAGCCCAATTCACCTCACAGAGTCAATGTGAGGAAACTAGGTGGAAGGGGTATATACACCACCTTGACTTAACAAAAATGATAAATAATGAATGATCATTAATTGGAGTCAGTATCCTCCAGATATTTTGAACTATAATTCTCAATAGGGCCAGTCTTCATAAACCAATACTTGAAATTGAGATACAGAAACTCTAGAAAGCATATATTTATCACATTTGTAAGGTCATCCAACTCCACAGCAACTCTAAGTAGCACACAATATTAAAAACAAAGCAACAATATTTTCCAAAGCGCCTGAAGGCTGGACAAGAAGCAACAGATGGAAACTAATCAAGGATAGAAGCAGCCTAGAGCTAAAGAGAAACTTCCTGATAGTTAGAACAAGTAACCAGTGGAACAACCTGCCTCCAGAAGCGGTGAATGCTCCAACACTGGAAGTTTTTAAGAAGAGACTGGACAGCCATTTGTCCGAAATGGTATAGGGTTTCCTGCCTGAGCAGGGGGTTGGACTAGATGACCTCCAAGGTCCTTTCCAACTTTTTTATTATTAATAATAATAATAATAATAATAATAATAATAAAAGAAAAAAATAGTAAACACTCAAAAAAGAATAAAACCAACATCTCAATCATCCATCATTCCCACAAGGAGCCATTCATCCAATCTAACTAAATGTTTGGGATATATGCCAGGTTTTAAGGACCTGTTTAAAGAAGGCTAAAGTAGAAGCAGGGTAAATCTATGGGGTGATGTTGTCCAGAGAGTTGTCCTTGGTTCAGATTATATAACTGGGTCACAAAAATTAACCTTTGGGGGAGTTATCAGTAAGTGGCATAATATATAGTAGGCTAATAGTAGCTAATAATAATAAACATGCATGTTCAAAATCGTGCTTGGATCCATTCAAAGGTTGATTTCTTCCTTTTATCCTTTCCAAGGGCTTGAATAAGCATTTTAAGATAATTAAGATTTGGCAGGCATGTAATATAGAAATTTGGAAAATTTCAGAGATAGCCTTTACTGTTCCCCATAGGACTTAAAAATAGAAAGCTGAAAACAAAGATCAGATTGGTGGATGGGATTGGAATCAAGCAAGGATTATGAATCTTGTACTACAAGTCCTGTGATATGTAAAATGTGGCCCTTAGACCTCAAGTCTTTTCATTTGACATTTGACCTGACACCTAATACTATAAAAATGTTGGTCCTCTCCTTCATTCAGGATATAGCATGTGTTTCCTCTTGTAGCTACAGTTTCGTAGGTGTGTGTGTGTGATTTTTGGCTTACTTTTCTTGCTGCTTTGAAAGGTAACACCCTAGTCATTCTAGGCACCAATGAAGGAGGCTTATATATGCAAAGTATTAGTTGAACTGCTTGATTTAATGTGGTTTATCAGTTGCTTGTCTTAACTGGTAAATGTTCAGCGTCTGAGAAGCAATATTTCAAATTTGAACTTAATTTCAGTGTGTAAGACAATCTAACCTGTTTGCAGTTTATTCAGTTCAGAAATAGCACAGAAGCTCTTTGATGGATTGGCCACATGTTAGTCATAAAATATTGCAGAGCTTTCCAGTCATAAAGTTTGCTTTGGAATAAACATGTTTGGAGCAGAATCACATTTTAACTCTTAACATAGCCTTTCATGTCAATTTGACATTCTTAAAAAGTTTAAAATTCAATTCCATAATCCAGCATTGTCCCAGTAATTAAAGATTACTGGAAGTGGAAGTCTAACAATGGAAGTGGAAGTCTAACAGATGCATAAGGTGCTAGATTGAGAAGCTATAGTGGCATTTCTGGTGTTTTTGGTTGCTCTACAAACCGCTCTGGTGAAAAAGATAACGTATTTTACAGTTAATTGAAGATTCACTAAACTGCTTTGTCAAAAATATCCATTGGAACATTTTTGTTTTTATACAAAGAATTTTTGTTCTCTTACTTAAGGCTTCACATAATAATGATCACATGTAAACCCCATATTAAAATCTCTTATTATTGCTTGGCCTCTTGCAAATCCAAAGACAGATGTGTGAAGGAATCATTGGCAGTGGGACATTTTGGGAGGTTTGAAATATATTTCATTTTAATAGCTCTAAGCCAGGGGTGTCAAACTGCCGGCCTGTGGGCCGGTTTCATCATACTGAAGCCGCGCCTACCCCATTGCCGGCAATGGCAAAACCGGCCCGATACGTTGTGCAACATCACATGATGTCGCGAGTTTGACACCCCTGCTTTAAGCTACCATTGGCTTCATTGGCAATTCCCAAGTTCTAACATTACAATGTGAAAGAGAAGTATTGGTACTAACAGAAGAAAATATTTGTAGTTCAGTGTTCTACTGTGGGGTCCTTGGTGCTTCTCTGCTCTTGATTGTTTTCTTGCAGATGTTTCATTACACAACTATGTAACATCTTCAGTACTAGAAAGGAGTGGGATTTGCTCTCTGTTTATATACAGTGGCTTGCCTTATCAGTGTTGGTGGGAGTGTTTTCTTCTTGATAGTTCCTTGATTAAACTGTTTACTGTTTGATTGTTTGTCTGAGTTGGTAATTCCCTGACTGGGATATTGTTTACTGCTTAATTGTTGGTCTGGGTTAATAATCCCTGTTTATCTGGGTGTTGATTGCTGGTGGGGAGGTATCCTGATCTTTTACTTTCTTTTTAGCTTTTTTATTATCGTGAAGAAAATAATACTCCTAACAGTTAGGTAATGAAATGTCTGCAAGGAAACAACCAAACTCAGAGAGCACCAAGAATTCCAAAGAGGAACTATTGACTTACTTTCCCCATACTACCGGTATAGATCATTCTGTATTTCTTTGTCATGTCCCACTTTATTAGTATTTTTTTTTTATATCTGAATCCAAAATGTAATCTTTCCACATACAAAACTTATTCTAGATCATTCTTCTCCAGTTGGCTGGAAAATTCTGGAAATTGTAGGTCTCATATCATAGAATTATTAAGGTCAAGAAACACTGTTCTAGCTCCCTGATCAATATAACTGCTCACTTTTGTACTGTTTCTTAATCTTAACAGGATCCTTTTAGAAGATCCATACAACTTTCAAATTATGATCACATCATAAGTAATGTAAAAGCATTGTAATAGGTTAGCAATTTAATTTGGAATTTCTAATTACCCCAAAATGCTATTTAATTTGTCATTTCTGCAGGAAAGTGCCCGCAAGGTCAGGATTTTCTGTGGGCGGTGTTGGGCCTATAATTGATATTTTTCTAAGCAGTCAGTTTAAGTTAAGAGAGCCAGTTTGGTCCAGTGATTAAGGTACCAGGCTAGAAATCAGAGCATGAGTTCTAGTCCCACCCTAAGACATTAAGCCAGCTGGGTGTCCTTGGGCCAGTTACTCTTTCTCAGCCCATGCTACCTCACAGGGCTGTTATTGTGGGGAAAATGGAAGGAAGAGTATTAGATATGCTTGCTGCTTTGAGTCATTTGTATAAAAATAATAAAAGATATTTAAATAAATAAATAGGTTTTCTAAGTTCTCTTTGTCCCCTACCTCTGCTCTCAGAATTGTTTTAATTGTATCTATTGTCTTTGCAACCTGTATAATCTTGCTTAATGTTTGGCATTACATTGCATCACAGGTTACATATGTGGATCAATTTGACCCAGAAACAATCCTGTATCCATTCGCTAATCTATGAATCATTAATACTTTTATGCACGTGGCGGCAAAAAGTCTGAAGGATTCCCAGAATTTTATAAAGATATATCTTACTTTAATCCTGATCAAATGATAAGTCAGCTTTTCAGAGTAGTATGTGGCCTTGAGGTGAAGGCGCTCGCCTCCCACTTGGAAGGTTGAGAGTTCAATTCTAGGCAGCGGCAGATGTTTCTCTATCAGGGCGCAATGAGAAAATATCTGCTGCGAACTCTGTGTAGGTGTCAGGAAGGGCACCCAGCCAGTAAATGCTCAGCTCCATTCAGTCGTCCCAACTCTGTCCCAAATAAAGGAATTAAAAAGTCGTAAAATGGAAAAAAATCAACTTTATATTCCTTCCTTTTGCTTCTAATAATGGTTATATTACACGAGGCTCATCGCTGGTCTATCTGGCCACAGTGTAATCTCTGTTCCTTCGGAGATCTCTAATTTGCCATTTCTTACTCAGAAGTCCTGAATGCATTAATCTAATTAGGTTCCATTGGCTCCATGTCGCTCAAATTGATGAAAAGTGGTCTTGATTTTTAATTTGTCAGGATGAAAAGAAGTTTTAGGTACACATTCAAAAACATTTTTTGTGTAGGGACATGGCAGTAATGCTGTTAGAATAGCAAGTATAATCATTTTTTCATATTGTGTCAGTGAGAAAAAGTCTCTTTCATTACAGGATAATTGACAAACTGCCAATGAGCTAAATCCTTCAAGGCAAGGGAGTTGCAACTTTTTGTAGCTACAAACTACTGTTGCTTCTTTCAGCAAAATTTTCTGGATGGTCATTAATTACTGCAGTAACTTAGTTTACAAGTATTAATATAAGTCAGAATGTTCTTTTATCTGTGGCTGGGACTTAAGGCTTGCTTATTGACCTCTTTGATCTGAAGGCCAAAGCAATAAACAACTGATAACAGATCATATCCAGCTACCCCAATAGTTGATGCTTAAATGCATCTATTTGAATAATTTATATATGAGTTGGAGTTGTTTATGAGAAGAGCGTAAATCCTTAAACCTGAAGTGTTAATACTTTGCATTTCAATTTTTATTTACAAAAGAGGGCTAGTATAAGCCTTCTTGCTTGACCTGGTATTTTTTCAGCTTTGGCATATCCATGACATGTGATATCTGAACCACTAAAACAGAATATAATGTAATCCTGAACTGTGTTTTTTCTAAAAGTTTGAAAAGTCTCATCCATGGCAAAATATTTTATCAAGCACTCCCATAATTCTTCATTTTAAATCATGATTTATGACTTAGCGTGTTATGCAAGCCCTGTTGATTTATTCAATAAGTCATAGTTAAATGAATGTTTGCTTAATATGTACAGAACTAGTGTTTGACTTGAAATGGCAGGGTTACTTTCACAAGGAGATTGAGCATAGTTTCCTTTGGGAGGTAAAATGTAAGTGCCCTGATGTTTTGAACATCTTAATTGTTCCTTGTGGACTTTAACATTTAGCTGTTCTGATTAGGGTGCGATTGCTTCTCCGCAAAATGTTAACTTTGATGTCATTAATGCTGAATTAGAATAATAATAATTCACATATATGTTAAAAAACATATTGTCAAGCTAGTAATCTATGTTTTGTTCAACATAAGACAGCTACCGTATGTGGGTTCCACAACCTTCTTCCACAAACTCACTACTTTTGAACTTCCTTTTTCCATCTGAGACAACACAGTCAGCATACTGCAGGATGTAGGCAGAAGAACTATGTGTACCCCTCCCTGGGATAAGGTTAGCATTTATGCTTGCTGGAGCTGTTGTGTCTTTTTATAGTTTCCCTGCTGCTATGCAAGGAGAATTCAGAATTATGGGAGTGCTTGATAAAATATTTTGATCACACAGAAGCCAGACTGATGTAAGTGGTGAGATCATTCCTCCATTTCATTAATCCAACTTTTAAAAAAATGGTATTTTTAATTATTCAAGTAAAACATAATGTGCCAGTATAATATTTCAAATACGGAAACAATAAAATGTTCATATAAATTCAAAATAAATAAATTCAAAATATTTTTTTCAGAAATAAAATACTATCTACTATCTACAACTCTTAATGGCAGACACCTCCATGAAAAAGTGCCTGCCAGCTCCTTCTACCAGAAATTAGGCTTAAATCCCTATTTAAGCAGTCAGCAGGAAATATTTTAGGTCAGCAAGAGAAGTTGTGTACAGGTAGTCTTTGATTTATGACTGGTCATTTAGCAACCAATAGACTTTAAGACAGATTTCGCCCAAAGCTACTTATGAACCAGTTTCAAAGTTGCAGACACTGCAGTGTCCTGTGGTCATTACGACCAATCTCAGGGAAGCTGTAGCAGCCCCCAACCTGTCCTACCTCCCCAGTCCCCCCCTTCACTGGGTCTCCACTGGCCTTGGGCCTGTTTCCCACCCTACTGGGTCCCTTAGCCACAACGAGAGAAGGGGAGAGAGTCACTAAGCAAAGTGATTGTGGACTTGCTTCCCTTAGCAACTGACTTGCAACCATAATGGACAGATTCCATTATGGTCTTATATTTAGGACTACCTGTATCTGCTTTTTCAAGACTTTCATATTATGTGTTGGTTAATATGTCACTATTTTAATACGAATAAAGCAAAAAGCACCCTGCTTTAACTTACCTTTTTTTTTTTAAAAAACAGGGAAAAGGCTGCAGGAATGGATTAGTGTCATCTTATGTTTCTCCTTGATGTCTTTCAACTTCTACAAACTTCTCTTTTGCCTGAGACTGGAGCATGCCTTCTCAATTATTGTTGGTATATGTAAGTACGCATTAGTTTTTATGTAGGTTGCTCTACTTTGAGAGTAATTTTGATGCTTATCTCTATGTGATTCTTTTACCAATTTATATTCTGAATTGTTGTATCCTTTCTCTTGACATAAGCAGCAGGTTAAAAATGGATAAAACATTAATCAAAAGTGCCCTAATTAGAAAAGGCATGATATTTGAAAACATAAAGTAAAAGCAGTATGATCCAGTACATGGATTTTGCCCCCAGAGTATCTCTAGGAGAAATGACACATTAAAGCTAAGTCACCCTACATAAAGAAATGAAAAATGGAAGTTGAAGGTTTGTTGATCTAATACAGTGGTTCTCAACCTTTCTAATGCCGCGACCCCATAATACAGTTCCCCATGTTGTGGTGACCCCCAACTACTTATACATCACTGGGTGCCAGGGGCGTGGCCAAAGAAAAGGGGGAAAAATGGCAGACAGCCTTGTTTGGCGACCCCCGTGAAATGGTCGTTCGACCCCAAATGGGGTCCCGACCCACAGGTTGAAAACCACTGATCTAATACATGGTATTTCTTCCACACCCTTCAATAATAGTTTCAGAGTAATGTACTAAATTTTGTAAATACCTTATAATCATTGGTAGCCACTCATAAATGTTTGTATGTAAGTTGGGATCTCAAGTCTATTTGTTACTCAGAGTGATTATTTTTTTTTCTTTTGAGGGCAATGAAAGGTGTCCCACCCTTTCTCTTTAATTTGAAACTAAGGTGAAGACAATGGGTTGTTCTGTAGACCTAGGCAAGGAGATCTAGATTTGCTCCGAATAAGAGTTTTGTATTATAGAAGCAACACAATTCTTATGAAAGAACAAAGATGATGTAGTTTGCTTTAAAGTTGACCTGAAGCTTCTTCCTAGTTATAATTTGCCAAAGCCAAGATTAGCTTTGAGAAGGATATGCAAGTTTAAGAAAGTCTAGTCTTCTGTGATCTGATTGTTATTTAACTTTATTTTAACTATTTAACTTTATTTAAACTATTTGTATATCTTAGAGTTGAATAAGTTGAACAAAGAAATAGGAAAAAAAATCTTACTTTATGTTGAAATATAAAACGTCTGTATCTGAACGCTTGCCCTACAAACCTGGTTTATCATTACCTTATTTCGGTTCTTTCTGATCAAACTATTGATTATATGATGTTGTCATTCCAAGATGGATTATTACTTTCAGAGAAATGCTGCATCAGCTCTATGCTGAATCATTTGCTTGTGTGCATGCAGTCCATTCATCTCAAATCAAGTCACCGATCAACAGCATTTGGTATCTGGTCTTGTCTGGCTTAAAGTGGTTCTTTAGATTATCCTATTCTGTCTAGCTCAAACATAAATAAAAAAGAGGATTTTTGTTGAGATGAGTTTTTGGAACTCACATATTAAAGCAGGGGTCCCCAATCCCCGGCCTGCAGCCTGCTAGCAGGCCATGACCGATTGGGAACCAGACCACACAAGTGGTGGGCGACCATGCAAAACCTTCCCCTCTACCTCCCCCCCTCCCCCACTGTGCCACTACTAGTCCACAGAACCAGAAAGGTTGCTGTGTTAAAGGATTTACAAATTACTTAATTGCTCAGAAGTACAAATGATTGCTAAAATAAACATGCATACTTTTAAAAATATAAATAGCTGCTAGTGAAATGTGGAAAGCAAGAAAGAAAAATTAACCGGTTTTAAATATATATTTATTGAAATGTTTCATATAATAATAATCAAAAGGAGAAAAAAAAACAAGGAAAAAGAAAAAGAGCAACTTTAAGAAATGTAAAGATTATATCTGAGCTTCCTTTCAACAGATAATTATATTCTTATTGTCGCTTTTCCTTTTTAGGAATTTTCCAACTCTTTTCGTCTCTTTAGTTATCAATTCATTTTTTTTTTCTTCTTTCAGCAAAAAGTCCATATAACCTACCACTTTTTCAAAAAAGTTGGTGTTATTTGTTCTCTGAACAAACAGATCAGTTTGCCATTTTGGCAACATTTTCAAAATTCATTCCTGCATCGTGGGAATTTCATTATTTTTCCATTGTTATACATAAAATAATCTTTGTGCAGATACCATACTACGAATCTTTTCAAATTCATTGTCTATAAGTCTCATTTCAGAGGAATTTTAGTCCTTATAATCCTTTGAATCATTATATGAATTCATACCCAGAATTTCTTAGCTTTCTCACAAGTCCACCATGCATGATACAATGTCTCTTCATGCTTTTCATGTTTCTAGCACTGGTTTGAAATATTTTAATTTGTTTTTGATAATTTTCCTGGTATCATTTACCAATGATGTATTATTTTACAGATTTTTTTCTCTTAAATTATGACACAGTTTGAATTTAATAAGTGTTATCTGCATTCGGCCTCAAGCATGTATCTTTATATTATATATCAAATTTAGCAGTCCATTTTGTCATGTTATCTTTAACCTGTTCTGTTTCAAATCTTAACATTTATACATTTTGCTGTTATATATTCATCATTTGTACTTGCAGATAGTCCTCGACTTACAACCATAATTCAGCCCAAAATTTTTGTTGCTAAGTAAAACATTTGTTAAGTGAACTTTGCCCCATTTTGTGCCACAGTTGTTAAGTAAATCACTGCATTGTTAAGTTAGTAACATGGTTGTTAAGTGAATCCGGCTTCCCCATTGACTTTGCTTGTCAGAAGGGCACAAAGGATAATCACGTGACCCTGGGGCACTGCAACCATCATAAATACATGCCAGTTGCCAAGGTTCTTGATCACATAACCGCGGGGTTGCCACAGTGGTCATAAGTGTGAAAAACGATCATAAGTCACTTTTTTCAGTGCCGTTGTAAATTTGAACTATCACTAAATGAACTGTTGTAAGTCGAGGACTACCTGTATTAACCATTTCTCTGTCTGCTGTCTTTCTTCTATAAAATGCTTCTTGTGTTGAAATCAGTAAAAGTATCTTCAGACACAACCTGGATTTATATTTCCATATTCTCAATATAGCACTCCCACATAGTGATTTTTAAAAATTGACATTAACTTGTAACTTTGTCATATCATTAAACCCATGCCATTCCAAACCTCAAGTTATGATTTCCAGTTCAAACAGTCTTGTTATTTCTCAACAGAACCCATTGCTTCATCCAAACCAAATAATAGCTGCAAAGCACAGTTTAAGATTAGGTTGTCCTAACCCTTCCCTTTCTTTTGCATTTTGAGAGTTTTATATTTAACCCTTGGGTTCTTACCCTGCTGTACAAAACTGGATAAATCTTTTTGCCATTATTTAAAAGATGCATCAGTTTTCAAATCTGATATTGTTCAAAATAGAGACATTCTAGATTCTTCTTTATTACAAAAAAAAAATCTATCAATGTTAGTTGCAAAATTTCCCAATTTAATAAATCTCATGCTACGAGCGTTCTGAAATAGCATAAAGGTCACATTAGACATGAACACAGATATTTTGCTTTTTTCTCAGTTTGAAAATCAGCCTTTTGCATCCGTTCATTTTGATATTCCATTCTCATAGTTTTGCTAACGTTTTAGTTCTCTATTTCAGGGCTTTTCAACCTTTTCACCCATTGTATCACTTTTAGGATATGGTAATATCCGAGTTCCACCAGTCGCCTAGCAAGGTGTCAAAAACTTGATGACAAAAAAAAAGGAAAAAAGTGATAAAGTATAGGTAGTCCTCGACTTACAACAGTTCGCTTAGTGACTGTTCAAAGTTACAATGGCACTGAAAAAAGTGCCCCCAAAGCCACAGCTGAGCAAGACACCTGCCTGCCCACACGGCAGCGCTTTTCCTCCTGTCCAAGGCTTTCATTGTTGTGAGCGTTTCTGTTGAGGATTGGCAGCGGGGGTGGGGTGGGGGGTGTTTGTTTTTTATTTCCCCCCCCCCCGTCTGCTGGGTGGTTGCAGCAGGTTTTGGTCACTTCACATGACCCTGCAACACTGTGACCGTCATAAATATGAATCGGTTGCCAAGCATCTGAATGTAAATCACAAGACCCTGGAGATGTTGCAACATTCCAGCTGATCGACGCTTCTTCTGGGCTCAGCAGAAGCACCAGGATCAGCGCCGAGCTCCAGCTGGAGTCTGGCGTTGATCCTGGCACTTCCACTGAGCCCTGACAGTCCCGAAGAAGCGCCGATCTGCTGGAAAGCAGCACTGATCCTGGCGCTTCCGCTCAGCCCTGCAGCTCCAGCCGTCTCTCGCTCAGGCTTGTGCAGTGTGGCCAACGGTTCAGCTCATTCCCCTCCCCCGCTATCACTTTTCTAGGATGATTGCATACCACCTGCCAGGTGCCAATGTACCACAGGTGGTACCCGTATCACTGGTTGAAAAGCCCTGCGTCTATTTCTTCAAATGGAAGAGATAATATATCTCACAAAGAGGACAAAAAATGGTTAATGGTGAATTGAGTAAACCTTATGAAATACAAAAAGTAACAAGACAGGATTGTCCACTTTTACACCGTTCATTTTTGCTTTGAAAGTTCTTACTAGAAATGTTAAGGCAAGATGAAAAAATTACTGGGTGAAAGTGAAAAAGGAGATATAACTTCAGAGCATTTGAAGAAATTTGATTTTAGTAGTTGAAAATTCCTTGGAGGGAATAGATATATTAATGGAAAAACTGAAAGAATTTGTTAGCTAGAGTTAGCCAGATTTAAAATGAAGAAAAATTATCCTCATCTACCATTGTTGCAATAAAATGGCAAAAATTAACAATTTCAAAGAAGCCACCACTTGCATTTCAAAGGTTATATTGAAATGAAGCTGTAGTAAATATGCATCTACCTAAGCTCCTGAGATGGGCTGTTACTCATGTCACTTCATACAGTGGTAGACTTTGTAATGGCAGAATTTTATTTTCTTCCTTGTACAAGAATAAATTGTAAATACTTCAGAGAAACCATAGTTCAATGGATAAGGTGCTCTCTTCAGGTTCTTATAACAAAATGTTATATCTACATTCATTTTCAAT